ATAGACACAAGAAATATTATTTTCTTGGAAATAAGTTGAGCGAATAAAGTCCCAAATTTGCTTTGCAGTTCCGGAAAACATAATAGTGGATATAGATACTTCCAAGTCCATTGAGTTAACAATTGAGCACATTGAGATATGATGCTTGCCATTTAACAAACCTGATGGCGCCATCCCGAATCAGGACAGATGAATTAAAACCTTGAAGTTTGTCATGAAACCTATAACAAAGGCCCTCATCCATGGAAGATGGATTTTTTATTAACTTTGAGGGGGGGAGGGATGGGGGGATGGAGAGGAAGGGCCTTGACCAAGTGAGTGCATCTGAGTGTGCTTATACGTGTAGGCAAATGTGGGCGGTGCAGACAGTTCTAGGCAGACTATATCAACATTGGTGTTGGAGTGACACAAGTAGTGGTAGTGCAATGGATAGGGTAATGGGCATTCATGAGCAGAGCTATTGCTAGTGGAAGCAACATGAAAACTGGTGGAGTGCTTAAGATTGCATAACAAGAAAAGTGATGACAATCAACCGTAAGATGCGTAAAAAAATTGGTTGAAAATTGATGCTGCTTTGATTTTTTTTTTTTTTTGCAATGGTACTTTGGTCTTGGTGACAAGAATTTTTAAACCTTGAGAGAAGAAATCTCTCTCTCTCTCTCTCTCTCTCTCACCCTGCTGCCCCACTTGGGGCTCATGCCCAAGCCTTCTTCTTTTTCTCCAAGTCTTTTTATCCTGGGTGCTTGAGTGAAGAAAGAAGCTTTTTCTTGAATGCCGCAGAAGTAAAATAAATAAATGGTGCAAGTAAAAAAAAAAACACTATTACAGATGGCTTAAAAAGTTCTAGAGAAAGTTATCGCATAGCTGGACAGTGAGAAGTTGTTTATCAAATATGAACAAATTAAAAATTTTATCTATTCCTTGAATTGTAGCAGATGAAATTTAAAATTTCTTGAATTCATGTAGTGATGCCTATGTTCATTCACTCCGCTATTTCCTCGTCTTTAAAATTGATGAAATTGCATTCATTTTATGCCTCTACGCCCCCGCCCATCAACTATTTGACAAACATGTTTGCTTTTGCAGTGTTATAGTAATGGATGAAGCACACGAGAGGTCCCTTAGCACAGATGTCTTGTTCGGCATATTGAAAAAGGTAGTTGCTCAGAGATGGGACTTAAAGCTCATAGTGACATCTGCCACGTTGAATGCCCAAAAGTTCTCCAACTTCTTCGGAAGTGTTCCTATATTCCACATTCCTGGAAGAACGTTCCCCGTTAACATCCTCTACAGTAAAACTCCATGTGAAGATTATGTTGAGGCTGCTGTGAAGCAGGCCATGACTATCCACATAGCTAGTCCTCCAGGCGACATCCTCATCTTCATGACCGGACAAGATGAAATCGAAGCAACCTGTTATGCTCTCGCCGAGCGAATGGAGCAACTGTCGACATCCACTGCGAAGGCAGTTCCCAAGCTATCCATTCTACCCATCTATTCCCAGCTGCCTGCAGACCTGCAAGCAAAGATCTTCCAGAAGGCTGAAGATGGTGCAAGGAAATGCATTGTTGCCACCAACATTGCAGAGACCTCGCTAACTGTGGATGGGATCTTTTATGTTATAGACACAGGCTACGGGAAGATTAAAGTTTACAACCCGAGGATGGGCATGGATGCTCTCCAAGTTTTTCCAGTGAGTCGAGCTGCTGCAGACCAACGAGCAGGGAGAGCAGGAAGAACTGGCCCGGGAACATGCTATCGCTTATACACAGAATCTGCCTACCAGAATGAGATGTTAGCCACCCCTGTGCCTGAGATCCAGCGAACCAACCTTGGTAATGTGGTGTTACTGCTCAAGTCCCTGAAAGTCGAGAACTTGTTGGATTTTGACTTCATGGATCCGCCTCCACAGGAGAACATCCTCAATTCCATGTACCAGCTCTGGGTTTTGGGCGCTTTGAACAATTTTGGAGGACTCACTGAAATAGGATGGAAGATGGTGGAGTTCCCTTTGGATCCACCTCTAGCGAAGATGCTGTTGATGGGGGAGGAATTGGAATGCCTAAACGAAGTCCTCACCATTGTTTCGATGCTTTCTGTACCATCTGTCTTCTTCAGGCCCAAGGATAGGGCTGAGGAAAGCGATGCTGCAAGGGAGAAATTCTTCGTTCCGGAGTCCGATCACCTCACGCTTCTCAACGTCTATTTACAATGGAAGGCAAACCAGTATCGAGGAGACTGGTGCAACGATCACTTCCTACAGGTGAAGGGTCTTCGGAAAGCCAGGGAAGTAAAGATCCCAACTGCTCGACATACTAAAAACACTAAAGATTCCGCTCACTTCTTGTGGGATGGATTGGGATGTGGTGAGGAAGGCAATCTGTTCCGCATATTTTCATAACTCCGCGAGATTGAAAGGTGTTGGGGAGTATGTCAATTGTAGAAATGGCATGCCTTGCCATCTTCATCCGAGTAGCGCTCTATACGGGCTTGGATACACACCGGATTATGTGGTTTATCATGAACTGATTCTGACAACCAAGGAATACATGCAATGTGCCACTGCAGTAGAGCCACAATGGCTTGCAGAGTTAGGACCAATGTTCTTTTCTATTAAGGAGTCTGATACTTCAATGCTTGAGCATAAGAAGAGGAAAAGGGAAGAGAAGACTGCAATGGAGGCTGAGATGGAGAATCTGCGAAAGGATCAGGCGGAGTTTCAGAGAGTGAGCAAGGAGAAAGAGAGAGAGAAGAGGACTAAGCAGCAGCAGCAGGTGGTAATGCCTGGTCTTAGGAAGGGTTCTTCAACATATCTCAGACCCAAAAAGTTTGGATTGTAATTTTACCAATATTTCATGTACAAAATTGATATTTAAATAATTTTTAACTAGATATGAATTGATGTAAAGGTTATGTATGTTAGATGTAAAACTTGTTAAGATAAGCCCCATTCCTCTAGTTATTAAAAATAAAATAAAACTGATTATTTTTTTGGATGACAAACATTGACAATGTTGTAATTGGTGGCTCCAGTTACAAGAAAAAAATACATTTCGATGTTATAATAATATTTTTAGGTATATTTTGTTCATGCTTTTAGGGCATATAAGACGATTTTTTATAAAAAAAAAATAAGCTATTGAAAATGAAGTTTATGTGTGTGCATGCATTTGGTCAAACTCAATTGATGGGATATTTATTCTAGCTTAGCTTGCGTAACATATAAGTATAAATTTTTGTTTCTAAGTTTTTGTTTTTTTGAACTTGTCAAATAGGCCAAACCCAACTTAATTAGAAAGAAAAAAAAAAAAAAAAAAAAAAATGTTGTCACATACGATTCGGGGTTTGGAATTAACAAAGACCGGAATAGACTGTCGGACGGTGAAAATTAAATTTTCTAAATTCATCTAGAATTTAATAAATAAAAGTCTTTAATCAAATTAAATTAAAATAATATATTTAACTTTATCTCATTATTGATTGATCACATTTTCTATAATCTTTTTTCCTTCTCTCACTAATCTTTTAATCAACTAATTAAACTAAAAATAATAATTTAAAATAACTATGAGAATACTGATAAACCACAACAATACAAGAGAAAATGAAGCAATATGCAAGCAAATTAAACTTTTTTAATAAATCAATAAGAATATTTGATATTATTAAAAAACTCTCACTGTATCAATAATATATCAATATCATTTCATATTTATATAACGATCACAGGAGTATCGTAAAAAATTGTGTCAATTAAAATGAATCAATATCAATATCCTTTTTCATATACGTGCACAAATACCTTCTCTCAGATGGCGAAGGATAATATATGTCTAATGAGCTCAAAACTTATATGCAAGATAAAGACATTCAACACCAATATAGCTGCCCTTATACCCTCGAGCAAAATAGAACTGCGGAAAGAAAACATCGTCGCATTATTGAACCTGCTCGCACTCTTGTGAACTCTTCTAATCTACCATAAACCTTTGGACTGAAGTTGTTCTCACCGTTGCATATCTTATTAACCGGCTTCTCTATTTTAAGACTCACAATAAATCAACCTTCCACTCTTACATAGAAAAATGCTTAAATATTGACACTTGAGGACCTTTTGTTGCCTCTATTATCACATATCCTTATTAACCGACACCTGGGAACTTGTTCCGCCTTCTGAAAATCAAAACATTTTGGAATCTAATGGACATTCAAAATTAAGTATAATAATGAAGGCAAACTTGTAAGACAAGGCTAGTTTGGTTCCTCAAGGATATGCTTAACAACCTAAATATTGACACGTGCGGATCTTTTGTTGCCTCTATTATCGCATATCCTTATTAACCGGCACCTGAGAACTTGTTCCGCCTTCTGAAAAGCAAAACATTTTGGAATCTAAGTGAACATTCAAAATTAAGTATAATAATGAAGGCAAACTTGTAAGACAAGGCTAGTTTGGTTCCTCAAGGATATGCTTAACAACAAGGGATCGGCTACCAGAAGACTTTTAGCTCCGTGGCTAAGTTCCCCCCAATCAGATTTCTTATTGCCTTGGCTGCCAGAAAAAAATGATTTATTCAACAACTTGACATCTCCGATGCCTTCCTACATGGGATGTTAGATGACACGGTATATATGAAACAATGGAATATATGCTTGACCCTAATTACCCTCACTATGTATACAAGTTACACAAAGCCCTCTACGGTATCAAGCAAGCATCACATTAATGGCATTCTACTTTCTACACCTTTTTATGTCAACAACATTTTACAATAAGTAAGGTTGATCCTTCATTACTGATTTACCATAACAACAACATCTGCATTTATTTATTAGTCTACGTTAATAACATTCTTATAACAGATAATTGCTCTCATACTATTCAAAACATAATTGAAACGCTTAGTATGCAATTTAATTTAAAACAATCGGGGAAGATTTCTAACTTTCTTGGACTAAACATCCAACAAGCTCCCCATGGCTATTTTTTACATCAAATGTCGTACTATAAATGACTTACTACATAAAACAAACACAAAAAATGCAAAACCAATTATGCCTCCCGTGTCCACCATTTCCTCTAAATCCTCAAAATCTAGTACAATGTTCAAGGATCCTAATCTGTACAAACAGATTATAGGATCTCTTCAGTGTTTAATTGTTACTTGACCGAACATTACTTTTCAGTTAATTACCTTAGAGAATCCATGCATAATCCTACAAGCCTCAATTTTCAATAGTTAAAAAGGCTTCTTCGTTACTTAAAAGGAACTCGTCATTATGATGTTCCCATTATATCCACTAATCTTATGTCTAATTGCTTATGCAGACTCGGATTGGCTCAGTGACCATCAAGATTGCAAATCAATCATCAGTTTTTTTGTCTATATGGGACAAAATCTAATATCCTTGTCCGCAAATAAACAAACTACGGTGGCCACATCTTCTGCAGAGGCTGAATACAGAGCCATCCCTATCACTACCACATAAATACATTGGCTTCGGCTACTGAGCTTCAAAATCCATTTGAATAAATTCAAATGACATATATATAACATGTTCCACTGTAAGCAAAACAAAGTTGATAATATTTATATACAATCATCTGTAATAATAACCAGATACTTTACAAGCAAGATGTAAAATCGACAGTGTTCAAAGATATATAATTTTCCGATGATGGTCGTGTTAATTGTAGATTTCAACCGAAGTGGTTAAGCCAACATTAAGTATGTGGTTCAAATCAATATTTCAAGTTAAAATCAATCACTAAAAATTTAAAGTAAAATAAGTTCATCCTTTGCAACAGTTTATCAAGGGTGATAATTTTTTATTGACTTCAGCTGACAAAGAGTGAATGTCATATCAAATGTATTCATATATTCACAATCTAAAAAATTGCATGTCAGTAAGGAAGTGGCTCGATTCATCTGTCATTGTGGTTTTGTTGACACCACAAAGTAGCGGTTATGATCAAAGTCCTCTAACCGGGTGATTGATGCCAAATGATACAATTATATTATGGTCACAAACGCAACTCTTTTGTTCTCCAATAACTTTTCATTCTTTGAGTTGTTAAGCATAATGTTACAATTTACTGTCACAAACCTTTTGTCATCTAAGATGGACTTAAATTTGTCTCATTGGACAAATATCCACCCTAAATCTACATGTGTCCCTTGGAAGATGCAACATATGATTCCTGACAAGGATTATTTAGTCAGGTTCAGTCAACTACCTTCTCTGACTAAGAAGATCAAGGACCCTACAGCTCGGGATGATAAAACTATAGGATTTTGATCGGGCTTCATCATCATTTATTTCATCTGCTCTAAGTTTCAAGTGACAAATTTTACAACTTATATTGTTGTTATTATATATTGAATAATCAATTTTTAATGACCGACGTTAATTGAAATTGTTCTCCTGTTATCAGGAGAGGTAATTAACCATGAAGACTTGCGCTTATGAGAAACCTCAAATCACAGATCAAAAAGTTCCAGCAAAATGAGCATGAAATCTCTAAATAATGTTTTATCCAAAAAATTAAATCTATCTTCTGAAAATGTAACCCTCCAAGTTCTCTCAACAAATAAAAAATAGAGAAATGCAGAGTGTCTTGGAGAGTGGTCTGAATTTTCAAAGCCTGTAATATATATATATATATATATATATATATAT